TACTACCAACACACGACCAGTCCAGATTGATAATGAAGAACTTCCTTACACAGACAGATTTACCTATCTCCAAAGCCGTCTCAACAAGGCCAGAAACTCGCTCAACATGATGAATAAGGTATGGCGCTCCTCCACTTACAGTACTCGTACCAAGCTGAAACTCTATCACAGCTGTGTCCTCACAACTCTCCTGTATGGTTCAGAATGTTGGCGCTTAACAGAGAACGATTTATCAAAACTCTCCAATTTCACACCAAGAGCCTTCGGCGTATCCTACGTATCTTCTGGCGTAATGTCATCTCAAATAAAGATCTCTTTGAACGGTGTGGAACTGAACCAATGGCTACCATCCTGATGAAGAGACGCTGGAGGTGGATTGGCCATGTCACCCATCAAGAAGCTTCCATTGCGAAAACTGCTTTACATTGGACGCCAGAAGGGAAACGCAAGAGGGGCAAGATCACGTGGTGACGGACAGTGGAGAAAGAAATCAAGGAGATGGGGAAGACCTGGGGAGGCATCAAGCTTATGGCAAGGGACCGGCAGAGGTGGAGGGAGCACGTTGCTGTTCTACATGCCACCTAGGCGTAAGGGGCATGAGTGAGTGAGTGAGTACCCTGATGTATTATAACACTGGAGTGTAACTAACCAAAATTCGCTCAAATCACATTTAAACACCCCATGATGTGAAGAAATGGCACCAAGTAATGTTTAATAGCCTTTATTCGTTAAATTATCCATTGATCGATTTCAATTTCAGCTCTTAATCACCATACAAACTGAAGTTATACTCCAGTTGCTTTATCTCCATACAAACTCTTACTTTACATTAGGGTCATCCTTGGTCAGAACAACACTCAGACCCTAACAGTCACAGCTGTTGTCACCTTAAATAGAAGGCATTTAAGCACTGCATTTTCCAATTGAAATGGCTTTAAATTTTAAAAGTGATGGCAATTTTATTTGCCTATGCAACAATTTCTGCCCATTTTGGATAACTATTAAACCCAAGTACAAGATTGTTCCTGGTTAGAAATTGTGAACTTTCATAAGTAATCAGAAGACAAAGAAAGAAATGGCATCTGATGTGAGAAAAGAGGTCAGCGAAAGCAAGGTGACAAAAATACAGGGTTTAAGTGTGTATTGTGTGAAATGAATGTAAACAAGAGTTATAGTTTGTTTCTTACATTGTGCTGGCCTGGATTTCAACAACTGGCCCCTATCAAGTCACTTTGTAGCCTTTAATTCAGTTGCTTCAGGCCCTAGCAATCAAATTTCTGAAATCCCTTGAAAATATTGCCAGAATGATCATTATCCATTCCAGGTAAAAGCATTTACGGGGAAAGATTTGAAGATGAAAATTTCAAGCTCAAGCACTATGGTCCTGGCTGGCTGAGTATGGCTAATGCTGGTAAAGATACCAATGGTTCACAGTTCTTTATTACAACTGTAAAAACAAGCTGGCTGGATGGCAAGCATGTTGTGTTTGGTAAAGTTCTTGAGGGCATGGTGAGTTCAGTATTCAATGTTCGTTTTACAATGTTAACCCTACGGTTTCAGTCTCGGGACATTCAATGCCACATACTACATACGATTTCAAGGTTTTCAGGCGCTACATACTGACTTTGAGAGGGTTATGACTTTGTTGAAACACTTTTTGGTTGGTTTATTTTCCGGCGAGAAGGGAACTTATTATGGGAAGCAATTTTACGTTCAAAATGTTTGGACTTATTTCTGTTGGAAAGAAGTTTGCATTTAAAAAATGTTCGGCGGGTACATCTACGTCACTTCATAATGTAACGATATGATATGAAGCGCATATCAAGTTCGTTACAGTACTACTGAGTGACTGAGAGTGACCGAGAGTGACTAAGAGTGAGTGTTCTCTTTTTTGGCACCGCGTGGAGACGATATAAAGCACACAAACGAACTGCGAACGTCTCTGAACATAGCTTAGAGAAGGATGTAAATGTAAGCCCTTTGGAACATATTCCATGCTGTTATTACAGTGATACCTGTATTAAGCGGACCCATATTAAGCGGACACCCTCTATTAAGTGGACACCAACTTGAGTCCCTAAATTTTCTTCCCGCATCTACTGTAAAATAAAATTGCATTCAGCGGACACCTCTGTTAAGCGGACGCGGACACCAATATTAAGCCATTTTGTTGCGCAAAATCTGCAATAAGCGGATACTTCAAGGGCTTTTTACTTCTAAAAGCTCAGCTTAGCCTCCTTTAAGCTAAGTAGATTATTCCCGATTGAAGCATTGACTGACTGGACTCAACAAAGTCAACGTTGTGTTAAAACTATTTGTCTACCTTTATCTCCTTTTTTTTCTCTTTTTGACACTCTATGTTTAATCACAATTTTGATTTATTTCGTTAATGCTATTTATCATCTTCTCTATATAATTTGCATTTATTTATATACATTCTATTTTTTTCTGACACCTCTGTAAAACTGATGTGTGTGTGAGTTTAAATTAAAATTGAATTGAATTGAAATGACACTGTGCTATGTGCAGTCTTTGACCTTACACTGTGTTACAAAAGAGTTAAAAATTAACTATTATTGCAAAATATATTAGAACCTGTTTTGAGCGGACACCCTATATTAAGGGGACACTAATGAGTGTCGTTTCACTGTATTGCAAAGATTTTATCATCCGAGATTTGAGGTAAAACCCACAATCTCACATATTTCAGATGACTGAATACCGGTAAGTTTTTTTTTCTGAGGCTTATTAAGTCACTTCTCTAGTTTTCTATTGCTTCCCTCTGTCTGAACAGTTGTCCTGTAAAACACAACACTAGATGATATTGTAAAAATAATTTCTATTTACAAGGCTAAAAATGGTTAAAAAGTAAAAAAATACCGAACGTTTTGACACCAGGTCATCAGCGAGTGTCGAAAACGTTCGGTGTTTTTTTTTTTTTTTCACTTTTTAACCATTTTTAGCCTTTTAAAATCAAAGCGAATATTATGGACAGNTTTTTTTTTTTTTTTTTTTCACTTTTTAACCATTTTTAGCCTTTTAAAATCAAAGCGAATATTATGGACAGACGATATTGTGTTTTTTAACTATCCTCTTTGTAGGATTTGGTGAAGAAGATTCAAGAAGTGGATGTGGATGGAAGCACCCCAAAGAAAGACGTAAAGATCGCAGACTGTGGAGTTTTACAAGTAGACAAACCTTTCAACGTCGATAAGGAATCTAGTGAATAGGAACCATTTGTCCGACCAACTGTCTGTTTTGTAATTCATGGAGTTTTAATAAAAAAAGTCATATATATTTGATTTGGCTAATTTCTATTTATATTCCCACAGAACGCGCATAACGTAGCGCGGTTCATCCGTAATGGCGCTAGGAATGAACAGTTTATAATTCCAATACAAGAGAAATAGTTATCTTACTCAGTTCTTCACCGCAGACATAGCGAGGCGGCACTGAATATACACACTCAGTTTCAGAAATGAACAGTTTACAACTAACAATGTTCTCGCGTTTTTCTTCATGGAAACATAAACTTCAAAGTTTTACAATGTGGGAACGGCATACAGAAATAAGCACCGGCTTTGTCCTGGAATCTGCCTTTGTTCGGTGACGTCACGTACTTGATGAATTGAAAAGCAACTTCCTTGCTGTCATTTTAATTCAACTGATTAATCGTTAACACTAGCGACAATACGACATAACGACAAAAAGAGACGAGTTTTAGTGGCTATGTTTGTGTCATACTTTTGTCGCCCATTGTAGCCTCACAAATCAGTGAAACTTTCCTGGAATCATCAGGGCCTTTAAGAAATTTGGGACTTCTTTTCGTCGATAGCACAGTTCATGTAGCTGTTCACCATTCATTCACGAAAAAGTTTCTGATTAGTTAATTGCTATGTTCAAGAGAATTCAGTGTCGTGACATATTCGTATTCAGCGGGCAAAAGCGAATGCATAAATACCTCCAATGACCTGTGAACTTTTCTTAGAATTGTCAGGGCTTTCTAAGAAATTTGGGACTTGTCACCGATAGGACAGTTCATTTACCTGTTAAAAATTCATGTCACGAAACAGTTTCTGATTGGTTAATTAGGCCCTTCAGGAGACTAGTCAAGACATGCTCGTATTTAGTTGACGAAATTCAATGCAAAATCTCTTTTCCTGGTGCAAGCTTTTTCGCCTTCACTTGATCATTTTCACAACTTGGAATTAGTATTTACAGTGAAAGCATGTCGAGTGGAAAGGTACGTGTTGAGGAAGCGATTTTTTGCCGGCGGTCTTGTTTCTGGCCGCCTTTTCAATACGTTTAGCTGGCTCTTGAGTTGAGAAAGAGAAAGAAACACTGAAACGATTTCACTTTGTTTTAACATACGTTCACTGACAGAGTCAAAATGTTTCGATCTATGTGGAGAACATTTCCTTTTGTGTCGTTCTCTTGAAATAAGTTCTGTTTTTTAGGCAAAATTTAAACGATATTTAGATTATATAGTTTGTGAACAGAGTATGAAATTCATTAATCGGTAATGTACAGTATACTACAGCAATCTGCTATTATGAAGCGAAGAAAATATCTTGAACATTTATGGTAAAGCTGTAGTTGGTTTCGGTTATTCGTTGAACCTTAATTAGTTCCTTGACGAAACCGACCAAAACAACTGTCTGAAAGAGAGCCAGCTTACAAGCGAAATGTATTTCTCTAGACGATACAAGTATGTTTGCTGGAGGGGTACTTGTCAAAGACTCGGCGTAGCAGGAATGTCCAGTGTTCAGATGACACCGCTAAGACGTAGCCACATTGGGTTCAACAGAGTTCTAGTACAAATCTGTTTGTCGGGAAATGTAGCCGGGAAAATGGATCTGAAAAGTATTCCGGGTTCAAAGACCCCTTCAGGCTCTGAGGGGCATTATGGGTAATCAGGGCAAATTTACTAAGAGGCAACCATGCTGTAAAACATACGTTTTTCTTTATATTTCCGTTCTGATTTCACATTTGGAGACGAAACATATACTGTAGATGGAGAAACCCCTTTTCTAGGTTTACCAGCGTATTTGAACCGATCGAGTGGTTGTTGTGGGCGTAGGAATTTTTTTAGGGTTAAAACCGAATATTTTGATCAAGTCACAAAAATAACATCTCCGATACTCTGATAAGTCACTGATAAGTAGACTAATGCCTTGCTCAATTGACTCAAACGCTAGTCAACGTAGGAAAGGGTTTTCCCTACTTACAGTAAAAGTTTCTTTTCGATAATTAAACTCAGAACGGAAATATGAAGAAAAACGTCTCTTTTGCCGTTTTGTTTCTTTGCAATCTTGCCCCGATTACCCTAATGCCCCTTAGAGCGAGAAGGGGTCTAAAAGGAGAGAGTGTCTCAGCAGATAATTTGCATCATACCCCCGCCTAGCTGCTAAGAAAATAGATTGCGCAAAGGCACTAAAGCATTGTCGTGACAATTCTAACGAATGATACCATTGCTGTTGCGCGGCAGACACCATATCAGGGAGGACGGCGTTGTTTTGGTGAATACAGATGTCCGGAGTGTAACCGCGGCTGGATGAGCGCCAATAGTTGGGCCAACACTGGTCAACAATGTCAGAATTGTAACATCGTTGTGTATCCGCACACACAGCGTCCCTTGGAAAAACCTGAGGGACTGGACGCCGGGGATGCTTCTAAAAGACACCCGCAACACTTGTGCGAGAAATGCAAGAGGCTTGGTCACTTCTGTGGAGATCGAGATCGGTATCACTAATGAACAGTTGATGGGCAGAATTAGTGACTGCCCCGCTTTGCTTTCGAGTTTTTTCTCAAGTGTGGTATTCAATTCAGTTCGTTATTTACACTATATAGGGCATTTAGATACATTTTATAGCTAAAGTAATGAAAATAGTAAAAAAAAAGTTAAGAAATATAAAGCCTTAAATAAAATTTATATGTGAGCGGTGGCCAAAGTAGCAAGAGCTTTCTGGTTGGCCACCGCCATGGTCAAGTAAATGGCAGCAAAAAAAATTGATTCAGCTAAGCTAGATCTACATACACTTCATTTGTTAACAAGATGTTAAACAATTACAACAAAGATAAATAACTTGCACGCGATACATTCGTTGTGCTGTCACGTGAGCGTATCAGATTAAAAAAGATGTTGATCAAAAATTGGGTATACTCTTATGTCAATTAACTCCATTGGTAGAGTTACTTTCTTTTGAACAATATTGTAAACTCAATTGAATTCAATATCGTACGAAATCGTATGTGAGGTTACCGACTGTTTTTTTGTTGATCACCTAAAGATACTCTGTCCATTCCAAGTCCATACAATCCTTAAAACTTAAGCCGCTTTCATTTTCTATCTAGTTGTACGATGACAAACCCAAAACACTTCAGGAATATGTAAGTGTATCCAGTAAGGTACTCTGTACGTGTCATATATTTTGTGGTCATTTTTCTTTTTGATTATAAACTAGTTTTCCGGCAGTAATAGATTGGAATGTTGAAGCGAGTAATTTTTCTAGTAAGATGTACCCTGAGCAGTTGGTTTCTCCTACGTAGTTGGTTTTAGTTGGTTTCTCCTACCAAGTGCTTGCAGGGTAAGTAAGATTCAATAATTCGTTTATAAGCTGTGCTCTTTTTGGAACTTTATGGCAATTCAGCCTCTGACTGATAGTTTAATTAACCTTGATCGACCAATTGCAGAGAACACGTTTTTGCTGTAACTTTTTTGTCACCTTCAGAAGTCTTTAGCCTTTCCTTTATGTCTGTTGACACCACCAAAGCCAGTCATGAACCATAACAACGTAGAGTCGCTCTTCTCGATATGTTAACGTGGACAAAGGTCACTCAGAAGTATCGTGAATATTTTCTGTACTAGTTGTCTGTATACTTGGTGTCTTTTGTAAAACCATTCTAGCGGGTCATTGGGATGCCGGATTTTAAAGTCTGCGTGACAGTTGAGTAACATTTTTATTACAGTTTGTTTTCGTTATTGACGGTTTTGCTCAAGCATTCGCTTTCTTCGTTTGCTTGGAGCACCCAGAAACCGCTGTAAAATATATCTTAAAAGCCTGAAGGTCCTGAAGCAGTTTGGTACTCATACAATTTAATCAATATTGGATCCTTGCTTGCCTTGTGCACGGTAAAAGATTCATTTAAACAGGATATGGTAATTTATAGCAAGTTCCGTGGAATTCCGAAACGGAAGGAAAGCTAGGGAACGCTTTCTTAAATAGGTATATGACAGAACGGGAAAGAAACTGGTCTATACACAGGCTAAGTTTTAAAGTGGCTACATGTCCAGCAGCCGGACAGGTTTTTTAAAATACTCCGTGTCCGGCAGTGAGACTTTTTTTTTTAAAGTAAAACAACGTAAAAAGAACTTTATGACAGGCGACCCCAAGAGGAATCAAACCCGGGTCGCCGGCATGGCAAGCGACACCCATGACCACTGCGCCACAGCGACCGGCCGGCAGATCTTAGAATTTTCGAGTTACCCTTAGCATTATTGAAAGCTAACCGTAAACAGGCTAACCGGAGAGCTATTCAGGCTAACCGGAGTGCTTTGTAGGCTAACCGGAATGCTTTGTAGGCTAACCGGAGTGCTTTTTAGGCTAACCGGAGTGCTTTTTAGGTTAACCGGATTGCTATTCAAGCGTTTTGACAGCTGGTCACTTTACAATAGTCTACTTTATAAATCCCGATATACCGGATGCCGGGCTCACCAAAATTAGTATTCAGCCATATAAACAAGGATTTGACATTATTAACTGAAACATTTTTTAAAAAATATTTTTGACTGCCGGACACGGAGTATTTTGAAAAACCTGTCCGGCTGCGGACATAGAGACACAGCGACCTTCGCTTTAAAGGCCGATATGGAAACTAATCAATCAATCCAAAATTGGTCCAACGTTTTCTTTCTGACTGGTCAGTAAATATGAGGTCAGCTGTAATGTTTCACTTTGGAAGAATTCGTGTAAAGTAATCTTGCAAATTTGCGAGCGGGGCGTTTCTTAAGTAAAAGCAGTATCACCTGTGATTTCAAAGAAAATCGAGCTGTTTCTTGCATAGCCTGCATGCACACGACCATAATTTCCTTGGCTTCTGCACACAGGTTTATCAGTGTCACGTATGGCCGTGGGTCACACTGAAAGCACATTGTTTGATAATCGGTGCGAAAAAGAGTAATTATTTTAAAGTGTGACTCTCTAGGTAATAAACCGTTTTTTCCTGGGAACAGTGCCAGCGTGCTGATATGTACTTACTGTTACCGGCAACAGGGCTGAATAACGTCTGCGCATGTGCGAGG